GAAGGAAGATGTATTTGTAGAGCAGCCACAAGGTTATGAAGTAGCAGGGAAGAAGGACATGGTTTATAAGCTACATAAGGCCCTTTACGGACTAAAACAAGCACCCAGAGCTTGGTTCAGTCGCATTGAGGCTTATATTGTCAAAGAAGGTTTTGTAAGCAGCTCTAGTGAACAAACATTATTCATCAAGCAAAAGGGAGGTAAAATCATAATTGTGAGCATTTATGTTGATGATTTATTGTTCACTAGTAATGATGAGGAGTTGTTGAATGAGTTTAAGCGCACCATGAAGGATGAATTCGACATGACTGATTTGGGAAAGATGAGATATTTTCTTGGCATTGAAGTGATACAGAAGGCTGATGGCATCTTTATATGTCAAAGAAAATATGCTGCTTAGTTGATCGAGAGGTTTGGGATGCAGAATTACAACTTTGTTTGCAATCCGATAGTCCCTGGACAGAAGGTTGGCCGGGATGAAGCTGGTGTGAAGGTCGACTCAACACTATATAAGCAAATGGTGGGCAGCTTAATGTATCTCACAGCCACGCGACCTGACTTTGGTCCGTGGTAAGTCTTATTAGTCGTTTTATGGCAAATCCTACTGAGTTGCACTTTGGTACTGCAAAAAGAATCATGAGGTATGTGAAGGGAACTCTGGAATTTGAAATATGGTATCAACGTGAAGGAAAAAGTGAACTCTTAGGCTACACCGATAGTGATTATGCGGGGGATGTGGATGACAGTAGGAGCACTTCAGGATATGTTTTCTTAATGAGTGGAGGAGCTGTGGCATGGTCCTCAAGGAAGAAACCAATCGTCACTCTGTCAACTACTGAAGCAGAGTATGTAGCAGCAGCTACATGTGCCTGTCAAGCCATCTGGATGAAAAGAATATTGAAAGAAATCGGGCATAAACAAGATGAAGAGATGGTTCTGTTTTGTGACAACACATCCACTATCAAGTTGTCAAAAAATGCTGTCATGCACGGAAAGTCAAAGCACATAAGGGTTCGATATCATTTTCTCAGAGAGTTTGCAAATGAAGGTGTTGTTAAATTGGTCTATTGCAGCACTGAGGATCAGCTGGCAGACATAATGACAAAGCCTTTGAAGATGGCATCATTTCAAAGAATCAGAGAAGCATTTGGGATAAAAATTGTGAATTGAAACTCTTGATTGAGTTCAGTTCAAGGGAGGGAGTGTTGAGTTAGTTTTTCTTCAGTTTTAGTTTACTTCAACAAAGACCTATTCTTCAGGGTTGGAACAAGTCAATTTTTATTTCCTATTTTTCTGTCAGTAGTGGAGTTAGTTGAGTCATGTCCTGTATTTTCGTTTTTCTTTAACTTTCATGTATTTCCTATAAAAAGGCATTGGAACCTATGAATAAAGGTAGATTATTCTGGTGCATTTGCTAAGTCACAAACTTACAGTTCACACTTATTGATACAAAAATAGTGGTGTCAGTAAGTCACTCAACAGGAGAAAAATAGACAAATATTTAATTTTTCGAAAGAAAAAGATCATATTATTTGTTATTTTAAATTGATTATAAATTCCTCTATTGATAGACAATAAAAGGTAGTGTGAACAAATATTTGTTGCCTTCTCATCAAGGTTACAACTATTTGAAAGAGTTGCAACCCTCCGCAAAGTTCACAATCTTTTATAAAAATTACAACTTTTCATAAAAATCACAACTTTTGATAAAGCCACAACTCTTATTAACGTCACAACTTTTCATAAAAGACAACTATTGATAAAAGTCACAACTCTTCATTAAAATCGCAACTTTTAAAAAAAGTAACATATTTTCATACAAAAATAAGGCTAGTTTTGAAAATAAATATAGTTAAAAGAAAATTATTGTTTGTGGTGGCGCCACATAGGCCGGCCTAGGTTTTCTTTTATATAAATATATGATTATTTGTTTATATTTTACATACTATTTTATATGATTAGAAATAAAGGTAACAACAAAATTTTTGTAGGATAAAAATATGGAGGATTTATTTATTTTGTAACAACAATATGTTTGTGGTGAATTTTTCGAATAGAGTGATTTGATTTGTATAGTGATTTTTAAATTTATTTTTTTGGTATTTTTAATTAAATTTAATTCATCATGTTAATATTATAACGTAATTTGACTTTCAAAACACTTTTAATAAATTAGCCAAATACAATTTATTTATCAAAATCATTTTTAAAATGAATTAATTAAACATATTGTTTTTTTCTTTTTCAAAACCACTTTTAAAAAGAGTTATTTTATAAAAATGCTATTAGAAATAAGCCGTTCTTTAGCAAAAATGCCAATGCAATCATTTTCGGATGTGAATAATTAATTGAACATGTAGACATTGTGCGCTCATAAATAGATTATTTGTTAGTATATTTTTTCTGTTTGTCTTTATTTTGAACACTTTCCTACAAACATAAGACACTTAATAAGCTTAATATATTTCAATAATACCTAAAAATATGAGGTGATAATATACTTGAAATATTAAATGTATGCTATTGAGTTGTATATCAGTTATTTATAGCAATACATTATTTTTTCAATTTTGATTCCATTCGTTCACGAACACCTCTAATAAATAAGGAAAAGTTATAAAACACTATCTAATATGGATGATTAATCTTTATAGTGAACTCCAATTTTGGACAAGAATATAAATAATCAGAAAATAATTTATTTTCAATAATTGTTTCAATCTATCGGTAAAAGCTATATATAAGAAGGTTCTCCGAAACTTAATTTGTTCTCCAATCATAAATGTCATGAAGCGATTAAACAGTCAACACTGGAGCAATAGTCAAACTAGTTTTTGTTGTCAATCTGTGTTTAAAAAACATAGAATTACTAATTTCAATAAACTTTGTAGAAACACGAAATTATCAAAGTTTAATGAACCAGTAAGAACATAAGAACACAATTAATTCACAAAAAACTAAAATTTGCAAACATACCAGAATCTGAAAAATTAAAATGATAAAAAGATCAAGCCCAGTGACTACACAGTGTTCCTTTAAAGAAATTATTTCCCTCTAGTATTCGAGGATTGATTTGAAATATGTTCTCCCAGGATAGAATAATCTCAATTACCATTGTATTCATACCAAAAAATGCCGGTATCAATGAGCAACTCAATGACAATAAAAAGAAGAAACTTTGTGCAGAAGAAGAAGAAGAAATCAAAAAAATTCTCCAGGAAAAAGTCTGAAGATCCAGTGGTATTTATAGACAAGAAAAACTGGTTCCGAAAGGTTGCAACCTTTCGAAATTCATACGACCATTAATGAAAGAGAAATGCCTTTTCACTAAAGCATAAGAGTACTTTTCAAGTGTTTAAATATAGAAACACTCCTACTATTTGACATCGTCGCGTGGCTCAGCTTTGGCTTTGGCTTTGGAAAATAATCGAGAGACTATTTGTTGGACACAGTTTATTTTAATTATTTAGTTATTTATATATTTAATCAATTAAATAAATTAAATGGCCAAAACGTTCAATTAATTAGTTGATAGTGAAATTTTTTCTATTATTTAAACTATTCTATTTTTCTTTCCACCACCGATGAAAGAGAAATGCTTTTTCACTAAAGCATAAGAGGACTTTTCAAGTTTTCAACTCTTCAAATGCCCAACTTTCCAAGTTCCTCTCTTTTCATATTCCCTCCATTTTCCATTAACTCTTGCTATGTACCTAACAATCCCCCACATGAATGGAGAATGATTATAACATTAGGAATGCATGGACGAGTATGTACTTTACAAGCAAGGATCAATTGCATCTGGATAAGTAGGTTTCCCCTTGGACTTTCCATATTGAACATATGTCGGATATACTCGGTGAATTGGTAGAGGTGATATCTTTGAACCTTTGAGATTTGGTATATAGCTAGATAACCATATGTCACACAATTAATCCTTTACCATTTATGGTTCTTATGGTTGTGTTTGTTTCAGCCATTTACACCTCCTAATTTCATGAGTATATAAAGAATAGAATTTTGACATAAATTCTCATTGAAGCGGCTTATACTTCAAACTTACATAGGTGATTTTTAACCGTGTCATCTCGTAGATACACTATTTGGTAAAATCTGTCAAACTTAGCAAATTATTAAAAAAACATCAAAGTTTAGTAACTCATTAACAAGACTTAAAGTCTTAACCTTGTTCCTGAACATTGTCTTCATCATGAGAATAGATTGAGTTGATTCACAATGTCGAACCGTCAGTCACAAATTTATTTTCCTCCTTATATCTACCTCTTGGGATCTCCAGTCTGCTAGATAGTGTTACCATCATGCTGATTTGTCCTAAGCCGTAAATCCATTCCCTTAGATGATCTTTCAACTTACTCTCTCACTAGGCCTTTTGTTAGTGGATCTTGTTGACACCCAATTTTGACCCCCCTGCGATAGAAATTAATTCACGAGCTTCTTTATTTCCGAACAATTTAAAATAATTAGTTTTATAAAATTTTAAGAAAAAATATAAAATTTGCGCTATTTTGAATAGTTTTGTCATTTTTTTTTATAATTTTTAAATAACATATATATTTTACATAATTATGTATATAATTAGTATACTTTATGATTATTCAAAAATCAACTCAAAAAGATTTTAGTTTTAGTAATATATTTCGACAACTAGTGTGGTTTAAATAATAATTTATATTTTTAGTTTAATTAGTTCATAATTAAATTAATTATTTTATTTTTGTTAAAATTAAAAAGCTCGACAATTAATTAATATTAATTCATCTTATTTAAGATTAAACAAATTTGTTATTTTAACTCAATTTGGCTACTTCTTAAATTTAATCCATCTTTGACTTCCAACTTAACTCAATTATGAGCCCAATTTTGGACCATAATCCAATTCATTTTTCGATAGCCCACTTATCTCCAGTTCACTCAGCTGCAACCCATTCTGATACAATTCCCAAGCCAGCATACAATACACTTCAAAAAAATATATATCCAATTCTCAGCCCAATTTCCATTCCAAAAAGAAACCAAAAGAACCCCATCAACTCAACTAACGTGACCCGACCCCTGCGCCTTCATCTTGTTCTCTGCGTAAACTACCGACGTAAAACCAGCAAAATCGCGTCCAACTCCAGACGCAAACCAAAGCGCGAGTCCAGCAGCCTAGCGCGTCGTCCCTTTCCTCTCTCTTATCTGATTGTCGGAATCCAGGTGTCGAGATCTCCCATTGCCTTTGTCCTTTCTTCAGAAAGCAAATGTCTGCGATTCTCAATCCGTTGGAGAGGTGTACAATTTTTTGAGTTGGCAACCTTATCACTTGAAGGGAATTTGAATTTGAAATTCAAAATTCAATCGGTTTCTCCCTCTTTCTGCCCTAAATATCCCTTTATAAATATCGGCTCATTCTTCATTGCTAGGAGTTGGAGAAAAGAGCAAAGAAATTTTGGGAAAAAGTTGAGAAAAAAGGGTTGGAGATAGTTACAATAAGTTGGGGAAAAAAGTCTGGAAGTTTAGAGTCGGGATTTCTTTTGAACAGTCACATTTATATTCAAGAACTTTTATATGTTTTCTTTAATCTTAAGTTGTGAGAGAACCATTGTTCGAGTCGGGTTTATTTCGTGGTCAGCTGCTCGAGATTCAAACTCGTATGGTGGAAGAGCTCGTCCCTACTCGTTTGGTCTCATTTCGCTGGCTGAAGAAAGGTATTGACTTTTCCTTTTGTATTTCGTCTCAATGTATCATATCACGTGCATTTGATATTTGCTTTTCTTGTGAGTTTTCGAACATCAATCATTATCCGAAATCAATAAAGTTTGCTTTGATTCATGTTGGTCATGCTATTTACATTCATGTGATTTACAATTTGAATATATTGGCTATATTGTTCTGTCCCCTTTACATTTTTTTTTTATGTTCTTAGCTTCCTTCATAGTCTAGTTGTCAAGCTCTTCTATTTGTTTTACTGCTTATATTTTCTGATCGCCATGAATACATAATATTGTTTAATTTTCGATGCCATATGTTTTATTCTTTCGCCTTGAGTAGAATAAATGAATTAAGATGTCAACATTTCAAGTTCTTATATTGTGTCTGCTACTAACCGTTTCAATTTCTTTTATTTGGTTTCTTCGTTGAGTCTACTTCGAAATGTATGCTTTGTTTCACTTTGTCCTGATGACATTTGCTGTGTTTCTGGTTTCATTCTTCTAACTTAAGTTTGCTTCATCTGTAAGATTTGGCCACATTTCTGGATATGACTTTATTTTACTTCTAAAACAAGAAAAGGTTAAACATATCCCCCCTTCATTTTGACATGTCTTTTTTGAAAATAGTAGCTATTAGCTAAGTTATAAAATTTTATTTGAGTCATTAGTATTAAGTTCTATGTATTCAAGATTGATTTGATATTATGGTTGTGACTAAGTGTTACATACAAGGATATGCTTATAGTTTCTAGTAATGTATATATTACTATTGGTTTATGCCGCCAGTTACTCCAAATAGGAAGCTTAGTCATGATCATTGATTTATACACTATGCATTTTGTTTTATTTTTTTATTTGAGCACCTAGATATCAATTGTTTGTGTAAAATAATTCTTGTTCGCTCTATTAACTTTAATTCAAGTGAAAAGGTTCTTTGTTAATTCTCTTCCTTCTATTTTGCATGTGAAACTCCATCCGAGTCCCTTCGGACTCCCCTCTTAGCATATCATCGAGTTGAATTTCTTCGAGTCGGATTCTTTGTTGTTCGAGTCAAGGGAACCGATGATAAGGGGTTAAATTCCGATTCCAAGCCCCGGAAAGTTTGAAAACGTGCTATATATCTGCTATATATAGTGGTATACATATAATGTATACATAATATACAGGATTAAGTGCAGTGAATACAAGACTGAAAATTGAAATATAGATCGCAGGAATTGAAGAGGGCTGCATATGCTTGGTATGCAGTCCAATGTACATGAAAATCAGTCAAAATATGGCCTATATACAACTATATACATTTGTTGTATACATAGGAGTTTGAGAGTGAAAAGGGGCCAAACTCATCCATTTGCAGGACAAGTTTTGGGCCAAAAGCCCATCTGATTTGAAATTGGGACAAATAGCCCAAATTCGAACTTTCTCCCTTATTCTATTTATTTATTTGTTATTATGTTGCTTAACATTGTGGCTTAACTTAATTAATTCCCCAAAGATAATCATTTCTCTTTTATGTCCAAAATATATATTTATTACTTAGTTTTATTTTCACTATTAGTCTTGTCAAAATGTATACATTTATTACTTAGTTTTATTTTCACTATTAGTCTTGTCAATATATATATTTATTACTTAGTTTTATTTTCACTATTAGTCTTGTCAAAATATATATTTGTTAGTTTTATTTTCGCTATTAGTTTTGTCAATACTTGAATTATTTTTCTTAGAAAATTCACCTTTAGTTTATTTTCAATTGAAATAATTAATTAGAAAATAATAGGAATAAGTAATTAAAAAAATATGAATTTCTTTACTTGATTAAAAATTCAAAAAGTTAGTTGAGAAGTTATTTTTAGTCAAATCGTCGGTCAACCGCAAGTAAGCGGGCATTTCGAGGGCCTAACACCTTCTCGGAATGTATAGTTGAACTTCAAACCCTTCTTCGATTGATTTTATTTATTTAAATCGTTTAAAAATAATTATAAAAGTTTTTCTTAATTTTTATTAAAAATTTAGTGGCGACTTTGTTAATTCGAAAATTGATTTCTATTAAATCATAAGATTAATTGAATTTTCGAAACATAGTCATTTTTTCTTTTACTAAATATTTTCGTAAAATAGAAATAGCGACTCCGTTGAGGATTAATTAAGTTCTAACCAAAAGGATTTGACTATTTAATTAAGAGTAATTATTGAATTGCTTATCTGTGACTAATGTGTTTTAAACTGGCATTGCATTTCATGACACATTCTGATATATATTGTACAATATATTAAAGGACGTCTGCGGAATCACAATCGGACTTTTCTATACTCAATATTTTTCCAGAATTAACGATAATTTATTGGTTCATCATGCGTCCAATGATTGTCGCGAGTTCCAGCCCAAATTGTCCGTTTGGGTCCCTGGTCTTTCAAAGCTACTCCTAGTCAACTAGCGTAGAGTCAAGCCAAAATCCAAAATTTAGGAACATTTGAACTGAGATGACCCAACACCCAAGACGTTTTGGGCCCATTAGAAGACTATCATGAGTCCAAAAAGGCTTACGACCTAAATGAACGTTCAAATATATGTGTTTAAATTTGAAGGATGTATACGTTGTTTGAAAAATCATTGTCTAGCTGGGTATGAATTAGATCATAGTTTATACTAGTTGGAGAAATAGTTTCACAAGCTACTATCCGAAGATGTTGGCACTTGGAGACGACAAGAAGTTCAACAACGAAGGTACTTTCATAGAAGCATAGTATAGGATTGTACCCCTGCGTGGGACTGGCTATTTTTGTATACTGACTTCCCTGATATGTATCCCCATTCATCTTTATTGATAAAATTTGTATAAATTTGAATTTTGGGGCAACAAAATATTTCAAATGACGTACACATCCCTCCAATCGCTAGGCCTATTGATACGCTCAAACTTACCTCTCAAATGAGAAGTAAAGCGGTCGGGTCAAGTAAATAACCCAACTAGTGAGGTTGGGATCGTTCCCACGAGGAAAATAATCTAGACTTAACTTCAACTTGTTATTACTATTGTTCGGTTGATGACTTCCTTAGAAAGTAAAAGCATAAAAAGGGGGGTTTGTATTTCCTAATAAGTAAAAATAACTAACGAACTTGACAGAGACACTTAACAGCTTTAATTTTGGGTTTTAATCAGTTAATCAAAGTAACTAGGGTTTACGCGTTCCCCACAGGTTCATAACTTGATAATTCTAACTATAACAATTCTTTCCTAGTATCTTGCATGCAAAGTGACAAGTTATGTATTTCTAAATCCTTGGTCCGGCATCTAGAAAATCTCACTCCGCACCTTGGTCCGGCTGCGTGTGTTGCTTTCCTAACCCTTATCTTTACCTCATATTAAGCATCGTATTCGATATTTGACTAAGTTATTACCTCGTACCAATCAATACTAGCCTATTAGATAGTATACACTAAATCTATGTTAATAATTCTTTTCCTATTATCTACCTCCTTGGTCCGGCAAGTAGCATTAAGGCGAGTTCTACCGTTGATCATCCGTTAAAAAGACTTCTAAGCGAAAGAATTATTAATACATGCAAGACACTATTCTAGAATTGCTATTTTAGCTAGGGTTTATCTCATTATTTGCCTATGGTTCCCACAACCCTAGTTATGGAGTTTAGTTCCTCATAGCCATAAACACAATATTCAAATAGGTTAAACAAGAATTCATGTACTTACTTCAATGAGAAAGAATAAAGTCCGAAAAATTGCTTGATTAATCACCAAAAATCACTTGTAAGAATCTCCAAAAAATCAAACACTAAAACACAAAGTCTAATAATATGATGTTTAATCTCACAGAGTCTAACCTCAAAAATGAGGTTTTTCGAACTATTTATAAAAAAAATAAAAACCTAATTAAACAAGGATTCTAATTACTGGAAATCTGCCAAAACGCGGCTGGGTCGACGGACCACGCGACGGACCGTCGTGGTCATGACGGACCGTCGTGAACTCCGTCGTCCCATACTTGGTGCAATTCTTCTGCTGCTTTCTTCATCCCCTCGACGGCAAGTGTGACTGACCGTCATAGGCACAACGGTCCGTCGAGGGTCTCGTTTCAAAATACTTCAACTCTTGGAATCTGGGTACTGGGATCACTTCTCTGATCTTCACGACGAACCTGCACGACCGTCATAGCCATGATGGACCGTCACAATCTTCGTAATCCCACACTTGGTCAGACTTCCCCATCTTCCTTCAGCAGCTTCTCTACACTGCCACCTATGGATTGTCACATGCAAGACGGACCGTCATAAACTCCGTAGGTGGTCTCTTCTGCATTTTTCGCTTAAAATCTCCATATTCAGCTTTGGACAGATTTCCTGCAAAACAAAGAGAAACTTATATCAAAATTAGCACAAAAAGGGCTTTCGGACACACTAAACTTAAGGAAAAAGTATTAATTATACCATGAAACCACGGTATATCAACACCCTCAACTTAAATTCGTTGTTTGTCCTCAAGCGACGCACTATGACTCACTACACAATCTTTGTACAATAGTATTCATGTTTTATCCTTTGCAATCATTTGGCTATCAATCCCGATTAATCTCATCAAATCTATGCATGCTATCACTATTAGGCTTGAATTTTGTGGGATTCGAACATGACACAGACTCACCACGCACTAACACCTATCCTCTTCAATTTCTCACCGAGGAGCTAACAATTCCGGTATAGCAACTAGTGTCCTCACTTTAGAACAAAATCCTCATTTTTCACACAATGATTTCAGTTTGAGTATAAGGATTACATTTCAACACTCGCTCTCAGAACAAAGTTACACTCATTCATACCTATTGCCATAAGCTTGCCCTTATTTTCACTGTCTTAAGTTCGCTATACAACCCTTAGGATCACGATAGGACTTTTTTAGCTTGTAACGTAGGCTCAGAGTCAGGTAGGGTATATTTAGGTATACTTTAGTGACTTTTTTCCCTCCTTGACATATCGGCTAAACCTTCCACTCTCTATCACTTTATCTCGCACAGTTTCTCCTATTCTTTCACCTTGTTGTTTCCCTTCTTTCTTCATTTGTGTAAGTAACTCTTTTCTTTTCTTGTTTGTAATTCTTGAATATTTCTCTTTTTTTTCTTTCAACGAGTTCTTGAGTCACCTTACTTTTGTTCTTTCTCTATCTTTGTTCTTTCAACCCCACTTTCCAGAGCATTCCTCAAAACAGCCACCCTCAACTCATGGCTTTGCCATGAGTCAAGGTACACAATACCCAAAGTCGGGTCAGGGCCATAACGAAGGTTGTTTATGCATTAGCCACCCTCAACTTATGCTTTTGGCATAAGCTGAGGTGCACACGTCCAAGGAGGGACCAGGGCCAACATATTGTTCCCAGAAAAGATCAGTTGGGGTGAAAAAGAAAGGTTTAATTTTAAGCTCAAATTGTTTGGATAAAAGAAGGATAACTTTCATTTGGTTTCTTTTATTTAGGCTAGAAATGGGCTATATTGAATAAGGGCCTATGATCCTTTCCTAATTGTCTGTTACGGCTTACTTTTAACAGGACTAACCAGGCAAGTTCTAGCTCAGTATCAGTAGTGGACTATTCAACTTTCCTCACGCTCACTTGACATCTCATCACTATACCAGATTATCAGACACCTAGTTTGACTTGAAGATTTAGGGTAATGCAATGGTGTAACTCTATTTCATATTTAGAGCCACACAATTATCAGTTACTACGCCTAGTCATGCAACATTTTCCAGTTTTATCGGGATATCATTTTAGCCATCATGCTTCAGAGTTAAACTATGTACAAAATATATAACGTGCTGGTTCAACAGAAAAAGTAATCAGTCTTTTGGGGAAAAAGAACACAGGCAAGAAAACCCCAAAAGAGGATAGTGAGTTGGGCTACTCAGACTTCACCTTAACACTCACTTTCCATTTACCCCACCCCCAACAAAAAAGCATGCAATTGTCCCCAATGCATAAAAAAATCTAAAGATTAGAGGGGTAGGTGAAGCAAACCTGTGGCGCATAGCACCGTCGATCAACAAGCTGGTGGGTCTGGTTTCCCAGAACCCACATCCTCTGCAATCTGGACACCCTCAGTGGTGTCCTCAGCAACCTGGACACCCTCAGTGATGTCCTCAGCAACAACCGCACCATCAGTAGTGCCTCCTGCTGTCTCTACAGTGCGGGAGCTAGACGCCCCAGCCGCTATCTGCGATGCTCTGATGTGGTGTGCCTCCGCCTCAGCAAGTGAGGCTCTCATCGCGGCCTCCATCTCTCGGCACTCCTTCTTCCTTGCTCGCGCCTCATCCTCTGATCGACCCCTACGCCTCTTGGCACTCTCTCGAGGGGAAGGTGGGGGAAGTTCTGAAGTAGCAAACAGGGCCGCCAATACAGTGTCCTCAACAGGCTCGATAGGTTCCGGCACTCTCACCTCTAGGATCGTGTCGATGTCTACACGAAGACTGTCGACTGCAGCCCAGAGAGTCGACACATCTATCGGAGGGGCTGGACGGGCTAACACTCTCAACTCAAATGCATC